CAATAACACGAGTACCGTACACATACCCTTGTCCTGATCTGCTAGGATGTTATCAGTTACATCCACTAAAGCAGTTGTGGTACTCCGACCCTTCCTGAAACCGGACTGCAATTCTGGAAGGATACCGGTTCGTTCTATAAACTCAGTTAATTGCGTACATACTACTCTTTCCAAGACTTTGGACAGACATGGCAAGATACTGATAGGGCGGAGGTCTTTCAGTGATACAGGGTTATGAATCTTAGGTAACGGTAATACTGTAGAAATCTTCCAAACATCAGGGAAGACTGAAGTCTCAATCGATTTATTTATGATTGCAGTAATGACATCCAAAGCTGCAGGTAAAGTTAATAAGACCATATTAAGTGTTATCCCATCGCAACCTATCGCGTTTGACTTCAATTTGCGTATTGCATATGATACTACGGTTTTATCGACTTTAGTGATTTGAAATGTAGCGTCACTATGGTGAAAACAAATGACAAGGATATGATTGTATTATTTGTCCCTCTCCCCTTTGTGGGGGGACGTACACGAAACGCCTTCGTCGCCATCCCAGCCGTCCCGTGCCCACTCTGCAGTGGTACCGATGGCTCCAAAACTCAGTCTTCTTTTTTCACCTCGGGTCTTCACACTTCACCAGACAGACGGACTACTGGTCTTAGTAATAGGTTCCAATTTTTACCTTTTGGGTAGGCAAACCTAAAAATGATTTCCAGCGCAGATAATACCAGATCTGCCATAACAATACCTGTAATTTCAATTGACGTAAAGCACATTTTGACCAAAATGAGTTATGAATGCCATCTTACTTAGATTTTTTTTCTCTTTTTTTCTGTTTAATTCTCATGGCACGTAAAGAACGTCATAATTTGATTTTGTTTTTAACAGCAACATTTACTATAAATAAACCCTGATCGCGAGATCCCTGTCAGAATCGCCAGAGCCAAGGGCTATGGCGTTGCCCGAGACAGAAGGAGCGGACTCGGGTTTTGTGAGTTATGCCGGCGGCGGCTGAGAAGCAACCACCTTCCGCCATGCGTTGGGAGCCGCAATCCTTCGTACCGTGATCGGTGCGTCAAGGGCACGCTCGACCATGGGCAGAAGGATTTCCCACAGCCAAGAGTCCCGGTGCCGGAAAACCCGCCGGGCCCTTTTTTTTTTGCGGCGGCCAGTAAACCGCCGCAGAGAGCAAAGACGGCGGGTGTTCCGGACCCTTGGTTGTGGGCAATCCATTGTCCCGTGGTCGGTCATATTGGGTAAAGTGTTTTTTGGTTCGTAGCCGCAGCAGTGCGGGCGGGGCCGTTGTTATTTGTGTTCTTGTTGTGGTTGTGCTGTCTTCCGGGACGAGCTCTCTTGGTAGGGCTCTGCCGCGTTGTGTACGGGAGCGGTCGTACGCTGGAGCAATTTCTCGTAGATTTCTCCACTCGACCGTACATGGATGTGGCTAGGTTTGAGATAAAGTCGTCAAGCGACTCTATCTTGAGGTCACGTTAGATGGTGGCGTTTTCTACGTAACGACCCGCGTTTGTGAGTATGCGCATTGATAGGATTTGCTGCGCTCGGAGGCGTTTCCGGTGCGTCTTCGCGACCAGCGCATACCAGGCGGGCGCGGCATAGGTGAGCAGGAGGCGAATGTACGAGTACATTTTGTTTATACATACTTTGGTTCGCGGGTTGACACGTTGTGGGTCGACGAACATCGCCTGCGTTTTGGCGACGTTGATGCCGATGCGCCATTTGTCAAACTTGCGTTATACGCTGACGACACCAAATTCATTAGCTCGTCAATACGCTACACCACACGGTCTCCAAATTGCAGCCACTATATTTCGCAAACGGATTCCTAAATCGAAAAACAGTTTTAGGAACCCCAAAGTAATTTGAAAGGACCTATTCAACGATATCCCACACGATGGGGTAGATGAGGAAAAATAATCACCATCAATCATCCCCAGGTTACATGTAGGGGAGCTACCACAAAAAAAAAACTAAATTTTATTCTACCATTTTATCGAAGTGATCGATATACATATCTCCACAAAATAACAGCTCTGTAGTGCTAATAGTCTCCAAGCAAAAACAGGGACGGACAGACGGACATGACGAAACTATAAGGGTTCCTTGTCAGGGCTACGGAACCCTAAAAAGACATGTTACAAAAAAGATAGGAGTAAGTAAGTAGGTGCCTATGACCGTATTTATTTTTTATGTTTTCATTAAATAGAACACCGTTTTAATCGGATCGTTTACAGGCTTCGTTCTCAAGAGTATAAGACATAGGTACTCTTGAGAACAGAATCTGTCAAGAATTTTGCAAGACCAATCTTTATTACCCAAAATAAAACTGTCAAAATAAAGTTTTTTAATCCACTCCGAATAATAAAAGCAGTCGAGATATTAAATTAGAACAGTCTATGGAACTGTTATTGATTAAAGCACCTATATAACCGTAACTCGAGTGGCGCGACCTTTTTTCCTTTAATGGATACCGAAAACCTTCTTCACTTTTACGTGAAAAATCTTCTGGAAAATAAATGAATCCATACCGTATGTAAATCGGACGCCGTGGAAAGTTTTTATTGAAAAACTTGAAGAACTGATGAAAATGGGCCCGCGACGTTAAAGATCTCTCCGTTCATCTTATGAATGTGATACTGAGTTCCAAACGTTTCTAACTTTCGTAAAACTTGCTGGTCTGGTGATATCAGTTTTTGCTATTTTCCTCGACACAACCTGCTTGTTGAACTCAGTTTGAGACCGAACTCAGTAAATAACTTAAATTCAGGTACGTAAAACAGAATAACGAAAGACACCTTTTAATACGTTTTATGAGACAGCCTTGTATCTCAATAAACTGTTATTTGAAAATCAGTCACTTTAGAATGGATAACAAGCGATTTTTAAAGTGTTTGTTTTACATATTTTGTAAGATACACAAAACTAGAGAAACTGTTTGAATATTAAACAGGACATAACATAGAAGGCGCATCATAATCAAGTTATTTAAGATTAATTAAAGGCGAGTGGAGTGGACGCGCCGCGCCGGGGCGGTAAAGGCCGCAGAGCCTGAGTAATTGATAAAGCTAACCCTACGATCCTTAATCAGGGTCAGTTCAAAGCGTAATTTAATAAACAGATATTTATTAAGTTGTCTGCAAACTTGTAGCGTCCTCGGTGATGTAAATGGTACCCACCTAGCCCACCCATAGACTTATATGAGCGGAGGGAAATGAAGCTTTATGAATGTAAATTAAACTGACATCTGTTCAAAGACTTTTTGGATTTCTGTTCAGTTCAGCGGTGGCGTAAAGAACTGACAGACAGACAGACAGACACTTTCCCATTATAATATAAGTACGGAAGTTTGGATTGTTTAAGGAATAAAATAAATTTGAAGAATCAAAGATCTTATTATGTTTAGTAATTTTTTTCTTTTGGTTTTTCTTCAAGTTTTTTTTCATTTATGAATTATTTAAGTTTGCAAGCTTCGGCTTAGACTACACATGCATAATTTTTTCACCATATTCTTTCTGGGGCAGATCATCGATTGAGTATTCGACGACCTCCGTGGCCGAGTCGTTTGTACGCCGGGTTTCATGGTGTCGCCGACTCGAGAGGTCCCGGGTTCGAATCCCGGTGGGGGCAGATGTTTGTGTGATGAATACGAGCATTTGTACTCCAGTCATGGGTGTTTAATATGTATTTCTATATAAATATACTTGTATATGTACAATATATGTATTCTATCCGTTACCCTAGAATCCCATAATACAAGCCTTATAGTGCTTACTTTGGGGCTAGGCTAATTGGTGTGAGTGTTGGAAATATTTATTATTTATTCTAATTTTGGATCCATTCCGTATAAATATCTTCAAAGTTGGTCAGTCAGTTGATAGGCTTTTTCTATTTCCGCTGGAAAATCAGAAGCTCCTGCTTTTTTTCTACTTCCGTTTTCCGTTTACTGGGATGTTCATCAGCGTTCTATTATCAACAACCTTATTTATCCAAGCGGACCAGGCAGCAGACGGGACTCGAACCCGCACCCTTCGCAATCTGGGCAAATGCACTGACCAATTATGCTACCGGGCCCTGATGGCCGCGTCGAAATTTTCCTATCCTTAAGCTGCAAGGCAGCGCCATCTCTTCGCATTATAGGTAACCCACAATGTCAAACGAATACTTTTTCAAGACCTTACACCTTGAATCTTATTTATGTTGGAGTTAAAGTTTACCTGATAAGAAACAACATAGCAATTTCAGTTTTGGTTGATTTTATAAAGTTCTGAATGTTAAATGTCTCAATCATGTTTAGGTTAATGCAATTTACAGTGAAATAATAAACCGTAAAATATTTAGATACATAGGATAAAAAATATGCTATTTTCTCTATAACTTTGATTTTTGACTAAAAACAAACAAACATTCAAATTAGGCGACCCTATTTCGTTGATCACATGTTTAGAATTCCGACTGCAATTTACGACACACGGTTGCCGTGAGTCATGCCTACTAGTAGGCCACTTATTAATAAACATATATAAAGAAAAGTAACTACCAACTTCCTTTTGCGTGCCTACAGACATAAAAGTTCCTCGTGCGTATCCCGACGAAAACATAAATTAGGTAAATTTACTACTTTTTATAGAGAGCATCCCCCTTTTCGACAGTATGTTCGTAACGACCGCGGGGGTCAACGCGGCAGATCTCCCCGACACATTCGGAATCCGCTCGGATCGACGAAATTATCAAAACTTTTAAACTTATAACTTTTTCCTGAACGAGTGGTTTGGTGCGAGTGAGCTTTTTCATTCGTTTGCAAAGCTTGCAGTTGGATGTTAACTTTGTCTCTGTCTGACATTCAGAAAGGTGTATAGCGAACAGAGACAGAAGCGAAGCTCGTCGAAATAGAGCCGTCTCGTCGTACCGCGTGGCGGGAGTGCCGGTTCCAGGCGCTTCGTTGACGTGGACGAAGCTCTGCGTGTCGAGTCTCAGTGTTCGACGCTGCGATGCCGGTGGCATACGTCTCGCCGGTCGCCCGCCGACTTTACGTAGCGACGATCGTGCCGATACTTCTTTCCCAACTAATAAATCAGGCGAACCGAACGAAGTAACCGCACGGACAGATTATGAGTCGATATGAGATAACGAGCTCGCGTTCCCACCGTGGTGATTAATCGTCGGAGTCCGTTCGACTTCAGATAATCTGAGTTTCGTTTCGGAGCGCGTAATGTAAACAGATAAACATTGTTGAAGTTTACCGGAATAGTCTGTTGACTTTTGTTTAGTAGTGCTGGGTGCAAGCGGTATTGTTGGGACGTTTGTTTGGCGATTATGTTGGAAGGTTCGCAGTAGTTAGGTGTGAAGTGCGCGAGGATGGAGGGTGGGTTGTGGGCCGCGCTGGGCTGCATGCTGGCGGTCGCGCTGGCGGACTCCTGGACGGTGTACCAGGAGCAGCCCTGCTGCCGCCCCGTGGCGCATCACCGCGTCAGACACCACAGAGGTGAGTCATCACTGAACTACTCTAATGGCTCGTCATCAGTTCATTGAACTACTTTAACGGAATTACCATTATTCATATTTACAAGAATGATAAAAGTTGGAGTTTAAACAATCACTTTGCTGTATAATGTAGTGTTCATAGAGAGAGGCTTATTTGACTCAAGGTTGTTACTTGCTCAAATGTTGTTTTCAGGCGTTACACAAAAAGCATATTGGAGAATAATTGACAGTTATTTCTATAAACCTACTTATATTTCTATTTAACTATATTAAAGTTTTAGTCTCATTACTTCCTTTGATTAATAGGTACAAAAATATTTGCTACTTTATAAAGCCATTATTTTGTGTGGATACTTATCTTATGTACATATTGCGTTTTCTAGATAAGTACAGTTACTAACAAGCAACTGCATGGGACCAAATACACATTCATTAGAGTCATGGTTGTTATGGCTACATTCATTCCACGCCGGAAACATCAACAAAAATATTTGTAAACATCGTAAATATAGACGAACTTTGAGAATAAATATCATAGACTTTCTTATAAGAAACATATAAAGATACTTATGAAAATCTTGCTTTCATAAAAAATAATTTAAAGCGATGGAATCACGACTTATAAAGGTCAAAAACAACGTACGAAAATTCATTGCAATCAATCACCTTCTGTGAACATATTTGAATGTAGGAAGTTTTTTAAGATTATTGAGCTAATAAAAATTAAACTAAAAAGGCACACTTCATTAATCTAATCGATTTTTTCCAAAAAAACCTTTGCCATTTGTTGATGACATAAAGCTTATAATAATGTAAATGTATCCTTATCTGCTTACGCATTTAGAGATTATGGTGGAATAAAGAACCATGAACCCTGAAAAAAAAACTTCCACTTCCTTTTGGACAGTCGTATAAAATACATCGTAAAATCTCTACAAAATAAAAAAAAATGTCAAAGATCTTATTTAGGCAGTACAACTATAATTTTTACTGAAAAACCTATTCATAGTTCCATGAACTAGTCTTCTTTATACTAATATCAATAAAAATATTTTTATTATCATGACCAAATCAAATGCGCTTCATAGCACGGCCAATCTGTACGATATAGTCTGTGTGGCACGCGATCTTATGTTTATATGCGGAACCGTCAAACGGAGTTTTAACACGAAAGCCGAGTAACAGCTTATTAACAGCCTAAAACATCGTGTTACCCCTCTTCGACAACCATTACCCACTATCAAATTCAAATGAAGGGTAAAAAGAACACTGTTACGTCGCCATGGTATTCCAATTTGTAAAACCAACTTACATTATTTCGACCTTCCGCAAGCGTATTTTTAGAAAAATATAATAGAAAAATGCTTTAACCAAAAGTGCAATTAGTGGTTTGTGTCATTATTCATAACTCGTTAGGAAGATAAAGGCGGTCATTTTTGTTTAAAAAACAGTATTAACCAAAAATTGTTAACTTTGAATGATCTATGAACTTGAAAGGTGTAATCATGTTTATTATTACGTATATTTAATACAAAATATTAATATATTCATACATCATATTTTTAAGGAACTTTAAATGTGAAAATCAGCACTCGCACTTGCCCTAAACTGATTTTTTTTTTAATGGAAATTCGTTATTGGAACTAGCCTTATAAGTAATTAGGTAAGGCACGTATTTTATTAAGCACTGTTCATTTGTTTTGACTATTTAACTCGTTTTTTGGCTGCACAGTCTAATTATTAATATTTTTAATTAATAAAAAAAAAACGATTCCCTATGTAGTGAAGTGAAATGATGAACTTTCTTTAGACTTAAACATTGACATAAGTAAATGCTTAAAAACTATATTTTGTTTTTTTATCACTATGAAAAAAAAATACATGAAAAAAACTTAGGGTCGTTGTTTTTTTCTAAATATGTTTTTTTTTCAAGTAAATAATAATCTTTGAAAACTAAATATTTTATAAAGTTATGTTGTAACTGATTTCATCGTAATGGTTTTCAAAAATAAACATTCTTCAAATCCGCTCTGTTAACTGCGTTCATACTTCATTTAAACCGAACGGGGAATTCGAGCATTTTCCTCAAAGTCATGATTGTTGCCAATTTCAAAGCTTGGTTGGTAATTTTCAATCAAAAATATAAGTTACGGAAACTTCCTTAATAATTCAGAATTCTGAAAAAGAACATGCTTCCAAAAAAAAGTTATTTTCATGTTTTTTAGGGTTCCGTAGTCCTGACAAGGAACCGTTATAGTTTCGTCATATCCGTCTGTCCGTCCCTAATTTTGCTTGGAAACTATAAGCACTAGAGAGCTGTAATATTGTGGAGATATGTATATCAGTCAGGCTGACAAAATGGTAGAATAAAAATTTGAAAAAATTTTTTTTTGGGTTGCTCAAAAATATTAGGGTTTGGTTGCAAAAAATTGTACAAATATCATTTTCATAAATGTCATTTGTTGAACATTGTTCTGAATGACGAGCTTCTGTTTAGATTATTTTGACTAAATGGGTTACATTTACACCATCCCTAAAAAATATATGTAAAAAAAGTATAATTTAAAAAGTACTGTTTTCACTCCCATACAAAAATTGTTTGTCCAACTACAACCTTTGTATCAAAAATTGCCAATAATTCCGAAAAAATATATTTTTTTCTAATTATTAAATTGTACTCATGCTTTATGATACTTTCTCAATGTGTTTCTAAACGTGCTTATTAAAATAGCGTTTCAGTTACATATTTAATCGTTTTTAAAAAAGTGTCCAATTTTATGATGAGTGTGTAACATCATGAATGTAACGTTTGTTTCTACCAGTTTCCTTTATGTGATTTGGTAATTTTTGCTATTTTCATAAATTGCAACACTATTAAGCAAGACGCCAACATTCAGAAATAAAAATCGGCTATATTTTTCCGAATAAAAATCGTAATTTGTGTTGACTTCAGATTTGTCGCCAAAAAATATTGTTTTTTGTATGTTTGATTGCAAGGTAAGTACTGCTTGTTGTGGTATACTGTTAACGTGTTTAGAAAGATGTATTATCACAGAAAACGAGCAATTAAATGATATTTGAATTTTAGGTTATGTCGCACACGTTTTTGTGTCATGAATGTTACAATGTGTAACGTTACAATCATGACCGATTCTAAGGAGGAGATTACACTATTTTACTTTAAATATAACCTTACCGCGACTTCGTCTGAGTTAACTTTGGTTTTTTGAGAACCCTTTGAATGTTTATATGTTCGTTACTCAATCACGCAAAAACGGCTGAATGGATTTTGATGAAATTTGGCACACATAATATGTCTATACTACATTGAGTAACAAACATACAAACTTTCACATATATAATATTAGTAGTATAAAATTAGTTAAAAATAAATATTCCAGATGCCTTTGACCAATGCCGAAAGGCAAACAAAATATTGTGAAAAGGTACGAACCAAAATCCTTCGAAGTACGAAGAAATAAAATAAAAAAATGCAGAAAAAAATAAAAAAATAAAGAAAACCACGGAGTGTACCGAAGAAAATAAAAGATTGAAAAGAAAACAGTGGCGAGCCAGTCAAAATCGTCGCAGAATGAAGTCTAAAGATGCTGCGAAAAATGATAGTATCACTGAAGTGTTAGTGCTGAAACTCATGAAAGCACATTCTTGGTACGAAAACTACAAAGATAGGCTAACCAAAGAGTATTATATGAAGAAAAAATCTAAAGCCAAACGTTAATCAAAAAAATATAATATCACTACCACCACAGGCCTAGAACTATTTAGTACCAGTAGAACTACTATAATAGGTTCTATTATGAACTAAGCTTTATGATGGTCATGTATGTAACGTTCTGTCATGTACATAACGATGTCATGAATATTATTTGTATATTTTTTTGCGGCCATACCCATTAAACAAAATTATCCGCAGGTTACATATCCGTTTAGAAATATTGGGCTTGAAAAACTTGGAAAAGTTCATGATAGTGCTTTTCATGAACTTTTAAGGAAAATCATAACGGTTAAGATAGATTTGTTTGAAGATACTTTGGTTAAAGAAAATCTCTTACGTATTGAAAATTCCTTAGAAGAAAACATTAATAGTGACATAGATGAAATTATTGAAGGGTAACCTTGCATTGCAGCAAAATCTAAAAACAAAAACTATTTATAAACCACAATAAAATTTTGGTACTCGTGGTAGCGTTGTGGAACTAATGATAAGTCCCACAACGCTACCGTGAGTACTAACGGTAACGGCTTCTAGTCGCGCTAACGTTACGTTTTTGTAAAGAGTATTGCAAAAATCGGCGGTTATATCGCATCATCGCCTTCTCAAGGGATGATCTCTTCAGATGAAGCTGGCAAAGTGGCAAGGCCCTTCCGGCCATAAGCGTGAACAAAGGTTGTGTTTCAGTCAGTAAGAGTCTGTCTGACATAACCTTGCAGCCGGCTGTAGTGTATCCATGAAGATTTCATACTCTCTCCCCAGTCAGGGAGGAAACAAAAAACAATCGGCGGTTATCATTTGAATTATAAAATAAATCTGGATGATACACAAATCATTTTTTTATGAAACCTCTGTTCAACATTATAATGATTTGCATTGCAGCCTTTATATTCGAAAATTGGGTGTATAGTAGTCATAATGATGAAAATGTCGAAATCTCCAAAAAGTGCACATAGCAAATATTGGTTTCGGAGGATACCGAAGTGGCCGCACTTCAATTCAAGCTATCCGCCATGCCTTCCTTACCTTTCTATAATCAGAAATCAGTAGTCACGTTCCATTCTCCCCGATTTGGTACCAACGGATTTCCACCTCTTTTCATCTCTTTCCAAAGCTACGTGCCGGGTTCGATGCTGATGCATATTTAAGGGCTTTATTCTTGCTTGATTAGATATTTTTTTCCAGCCTTGACCGGCCGATTTCTATTAAAGATATGTATTGTATTTAAAATTTTATTGCATCTTAGAAAAAAAAAATAGGAATATTAT